ATATATATATATATATATATATATATATATATATATATATATATATATATATATATTTCAATAGATATTTAGAGCATCCACAATGCATTGAACTCTAAGGAGTTCAATGGATTGTCACATCACTGTCACATCAACATTTCACTTTTTATTCAATTATACTATTTAACATCCACACTCCATTAAACCCTAGAAAATGTAATGGATTTCTATATTTGGTTTGAAATTTAATTGAAGCACTCAATGATCATGCAACTCTCTCATTCAACTCTCATCTATATAATCACTCACACTCCATTAAACTTCTATTTATTCCTAATCATTATCTATTCAACTCTTATTAAACCCCATTATAGATGCTCTTAGAGTCGACATAAAAACCTTTTTTTTAAATAAGGTTTCATCCAAACTTCACTTTTTGGTGGGCAAGATTGCAAGTTTGGTGCATATGGTATGTTAAAAATTAGATGTTTGGTCTAAAATATTTTGAAATTATACTAGTGGTCCAAAAAGTTTCATTTGTTATTAACTTGTCAAAAGTTATTTGAAAACGTTTAAAATAATAAATTTGTTCTTTTAACTTAGTTTTTTTCTCATTTTCTTTACAACAATTAAAAAAAATACAGGAAATACATCTCTCTCTCTCTCCCACCAAAAATAAAATCAAACCCACACCACCACCACCACCAAAATTAAAATCAAACTCACACCACCACCACTGTATATTCTACTGAAACACAAGCTTCACCAATGCCGACTTCGTTTCCGATGAAGAACATTTTCCAATGCCTTCATCTATGGCCAATATGAGATTTGGAAACTCTTACTCCAACGATTGGCCTGATGAGATCTGGGTTTCAGATCTAAGGAGAAGAGGCATGGCGGCGAACGAATGATAGCAAGCAACGAGATATTTTTGTGTTCATCCCTTCTAGATGCGATGACGCAGGTCCAAGGTTTCAGATCTAACAAACCCACAAAATTAAGTATGTGATTCAAATTTTGTGTTCTTGAGTGTGTGCATGTATTTTGACGAACAAACCTAGAATTATGGGTTTTGAATTTCGTCCGTCGACCTCTTTCTTCTCTTACAAACCCATCTTCTTCTTCCTGCAAATCAGTCCCAGATGAACAAAAAAATACACAAACAAGGGTGGACAATGAGGAGGAAAACAACTCAGTGGAGATGGATAAAAGAAAAGGAGAAATTAGATGGAGAAAAGAGAAGGAGAAACCAGATGAGGAGGGCCATGTGTCTCCAAAAGATGATGTGAATTTTAGTTTGTTGAATTCGTCGGTTGTCGGCGACACAGATTTGTCGGAGCTGGAGAACTTTGCAGTGGGTCTTGACATTTTTTGGGTATTGAATATGGAGATGAAACACTTGTAATCGATGGAGAAACAAAACTCGGTGGAGATGGAGAAAAGAGAAGGAAAAATCAAATCTTGGTTATTTGATGGAGAAGAAGACAGATATAGTCTGTTTAATATGGAGATGAAACACTTATAATCGATGGAGAAACAGAACTCGGTGGAGATGGAGAAAGAGAAAGAAAAATCAAATTTTGGTTTTTTGATGAAGAATAAGAGAGATATAGTTTGTTATATATATATATATATATATATATATATATATATATATATATGATATTTTTATTTTAGTTTTTTTCTTTAATTGCAATAAATAAAAGAAAATGAAAAAAATAAAATTAGAGGATACATTTGTCATTTGAAATATTTTCAAAAAGTTTTGGACCAAACCTACAATGAAATTATTATTTTGGACCGTTGTACAACTCCAAAACGTTTTGGACAAAAATCCAAATTTTTGATAAAACATAAGCATCAAATTTGAAATTATGTACTTTTTGGTGCTAAATTCACAACATTGTAAGGTTTTTTCTCATTTTGTCATTTATCTACAGGCTTCCATGGTAATTTTACCGTGACATAAAAACAAGAAAATCATTAAGTTAATTATTTTTTTATATATTTTTCCATTATTTTTTTTTCGTATTTTATGCATTCATGTAAAATAACCGTATCTCTCAAGGAACTTTTTTTAATTAAGCATATTTTTTTAAATGTCATTTCTTTTATATACGGTTTTTCTGTATATTTATACAGTTTAAAATTTTAAAAATACATTTTTAGAAGCATAGATACGTTTTGCAGAAA